TTTTATAAATTTCAGGAAATGGCTGACCGGGTTCCTTCACGGGCTAGCAGGTCCAACAATAAAAGCGACATCGGATGGAAATATTGTCAAACCAATGCCTCTTTTTTTGTGAAATTTATTGATGTTTTTAGGTGTGTGTATTTGTTCATATGTAAATTTTATATGCATAAATATATATAAAATATATATTTTTGGGTCCGCCATGACTTCCGCCATTTTCCGCAACGCCATCCGCCATATAAATATGGCGGTTTTTTGGCTTTCCGCCATGGACCGCCATTCGCCATTGATAGCATTGGGTAGCTATTACTTAGTTTCCCCATGTGCAGGTGAGGTCGAAATCTTCTGACTTGGAAAAGAGTGAACTTCCACCAAATGAAGATGTTTCGGTTGGTTACTTTTCTCTTGCGTTTGTTCTTTTTTTGTCAAGTATCAATATCAAAACTCATTATTTGTGTTTTAGAGCACAAAAGCTGAAAGTACTGTTTCTGGTTAATTTTAAACACGGTGATCTCTAGGCTCAACTGAACAGTCCTCACTTATCTTTGTATTTGAGCTTGGACCAAGGCAAACTATTAAATTCTTATGAGTCCACAAATTTGTGGAATTGAATTTAAATCCACACTTAACTTTAGAAACTAAAGGGAAGAGTTTAGTATTTTCCTCTTCAATATCAGTTCTTTTGCACTCACAACTTTCTTTTAGCTTGTTAATCACTAATCAAAGTCGTGATGGTTGTGTTTGTTGACTTTCCTTTTTTCATATCCTGAAGATTCCAAAACCGAAGGAAAATTGGAAATCCATTGACATGATGTAAGTTTTGCTTTTGTAAACTCCTGTTTCCTATTTAGAAGAAATGAATCAATTCTATTCATGCCTCATGTGCCCCTAATTTTTATCTAGGTGGATGAACATCAACTCTATTGAAAGCCTTGTGGAAAGACGTGCTTCAAAGGGGCATGTGACCTTTCAGAGGTGACTTATGTTTATCTATATATATATATATTTATATACTATTATAAAAGAGCCAATGAATCTGTAAAAATATATTTTAAAAATATGTTTTACCTAAAATATCCTTACTTTATGATCTTTAATGGTAAATTAGTAACTTAATATCCATCCTTCCAATCACAAATGACATGATTCCCGAAAAGCTCATGCTGCGAATGGTCATAGGATATGAGAACAATTTTAAAAATCTTCTTTCCGCGGGCCCAATTTCCGCTGGCAATTGGCATGTATATTTGGTACTTTTTTTGTAATATTTTGTCACTTGAAATAAATATCTAAATATTATATAAAACTAGTAAAATAAAGGGAAATACTATATAAATATCAATGACATTTAATTGCATTAAAATAAATATCTAAATATTATATAAAACTAGTAAAATTTAAAGGGCAATACTATCCTCAATTTCACAACATACAATATTAAATATAAAATATTTTAATATAATTTTGTTACATTTCTAAAAGTATGTTCTTTTCATATTACTAATTACATAACTACATTTCATAATAAACAAAGTTGATATAACATAATTATATAAACTTTACATGAAACAAATAACATGGCATATAAAACGACTCAAATGCATTTTTTGAAAAAACGGGGTATCATGTAGTACGAATAAGAAAAAAAAAATAACATGAAAAACAAAAAATGAATTTTGCACATGAATTTTTGAATATTCGAGAGATGTTGTATATATTATTACAATTTTCATGAAGGTCCAAAGTCCCTTTTTTGATGGTCCAACCCGTTGTTCGAGGTAGGTGTGATTGCATTTAATGCGGCGACGAAGTCAAAGGCGTTTGTTTGCCACCTGGTTCGATTGTTTGTCATCTGAACGACAATCATGATGAAGGCTTGAGTTGTCACCGCTTTTGGATGTTGGTAGTCATCTCTCTGTAGACGTTGGTTGATTAAGTCTTGACCGGTGAAAGACGGTCAGAGGAACAAGGGCTGTCATTTTACAGTCGATTGGCCGAATATCATAGGTGGGACCTGACGTTTGTCGAACATTTGAATATTCGTCTACATGACGCGGAAGGAGATGAGAAGGCAGAAGAGAATGCCGTGGGGCAGTCGGAATTCTGGAGACGTCCTTATAGGAGATGGTCGGACCCTGACGGCGGAGATGGGGATTAACACAAAACCAAAAATCTTTAACACAATCCAACAGATTTTTCATCCAAATTTTTATATGATCAAACCCCTCTGTCACACAATGAAACACAACAATTAAACAGATGCCGTATCCAATTTTTCATATGAACAAATTCCTCTGTCACACAATCAAACAGATTCTGCATCCAATTTTTCAAATGATCAAACCCCTCTGTCAGCCAAGCACACCCAATGTGCTAATTCACATGGTCCAAAAGGTCCTTAATTATTTTCAATCCAAAGCCGATTCCGACCAGTATTACGGGGTGGATGTCGGGTGGATGTTGGGTACCGAAGAAGCAAGGGAAACCAAAAACCCTACTGCAATGGCCATCCCACATTCGCTCATGTTGTAAACTTGGATTTTTGTTAATAAATTGATAGCTGGGAGACATGAAAGCGTGGCGGCATATATGGTTGATACAGAGTATGTATTTTCTTTTATTTTTTTTTTAAATCATGATTAATCCTACCACAAGAATCACAGACAATTTGGTTTAATGTACCATCTTATTTTGAGGCTATTTGCTTCCATCAATATTTTTCTTTTTTGTCCTTGATGGGTTTCTTCTCAGATCTGGAACGGTCTAATGAGAAAACGTCCGGATCTGGGACGAACCGGTATG